AACATGAGGCGGCCTGGTGCAGCACATTCAGTTGCCTGTAAACATCATAAACGAGAGATTCAGCTGGGTTCCAGGTGAGTCTCTCGCAAAACCAAATTTGTTTGCGGATGAGTGTATATTCACTAATTTCGTGGAACTTGGTTTCAAGTAGAACGCGAGGTTGACGGAAACTCGGGGAATGCTCGCCTACCTGATGAGCCCCAAAAAGGGCGAAACCGGTCGTCGGCTGTCGAGGAGTTTTCAGCAACCTTAGATGGAAGTGATCGGTTCCAGGCGTACAGAAATCCCATGAAATTTGAAAATTTATAGGCGTTTTTTATTCACGATCGTGTTGCCACGATGCAATATTACGCAACCGGATAGTTGTTCGTGCAGGTATGACTTAATGGCGACTGGCTTCAAAGAGAGATGGTGAGCTGCGCATTGCCCGCACCGCGTTTAGTGCGCAGCAACTGTGCAACTGGTGATATGGGTATATTTTAGCTTTAGACACCACGTATCAACCCTCACTTGCAGTCGGAGTTCCAAATCCACTGAGGTGAGAAAAACTACCAGACTCCCACTCAGCAGGGTTCTTTAGTTTTTATGAAAGGTTTTGTCACAGGCCACCTCCCAGTATACAAAACACACGTAACACCGAACAGAATGCCATTTCTTACTCAGCTTCTACTCTAGGCCACCCTGTCAGTAAAATTTTCTGTACTATTTGACTACTCACAAGTAGTCAAATGATTAAAGTATTCGAAAGACACTCATTTGCATGCCAATTTATCTCGATACCCTTCGCACCAATTAGCGTGCTAATTTTCCTACCACCACCTCCTCCTCACCAAAACTTAATTCTCGTCGAAATTCGTCCAGTTTGGGCTCAATGAGAACACCAGAGACACTTACTTGTGTTCCAACTGAGTCTCCCACCAAAACTAAATTGGTATGGAGTTGAACTTCGTGCGATTTGGGTTCAGATAGAACACGAGTTTCACGGAGACACTTGTCTAGCTAGAAGATGTAAGGAGTTCGTATCGAGGCGGTTGATCCCCCTCCGCCGATCCGACGGCCGATGCACACAAGATCAACTGTCATTTATTGGTACTATTTCCGATGAAATCAATAGGCAGAAAGTGGGTAAGACTAGTCACAAAACGGTAAGTGCGGGCAAATCACGTTCGAAATTGCAAACTGTACGAATGATAACGGATGAACGATCAGGATGCTCAAAAACGTTCAGCGTTTTAGGTGACCAAACACTGTCTGTGGGTGTATGCACCGGGGCACACGTGATCTACATGCCACCACATATCAAGTTAAGTGTAAACCTTACCTCGAGGGCTTACTCAACGCCTGCTGGTCTATCAAACCCCGTAAAACCAATCAAAGGAGTGTCTTCTTTAATAAACGCCTTTTTCAGATTGGGATGGTGGTTCCGGCCACCTATTTCTCAGGCTTTTCGTGTTCCCTTAAATTATCACGTTTTATACTGATTTATTAATTCCATCATTCATTTGTCTCCCACTAATTTGAAAAGTTCCCGATACATGCATCGAATTTTAACCCAAATATTTTAGGTTTCAAGGTCACCAGTCACTGTGCAACGTCACCACTGATTTGGTTACAACTTGGTCATCATTGATGAAAGTTTAATACTGAACGCGTGTATAGTAGTGTGAATAGGACGCGAGAAAAAGCATTCAGAATCTTGGACAGAAATGGAAAATCAATAGGTTATGGGAATAGCATCTGACGCTATCACCACAGCCTCAGTGTGAAAGTCGGAATTTAAATACTTTACACTACTAGTGAAATTGAGAGTAGTAAGTTCATTATGTTCCTGGGACGTCGTCCAGGTAGGGGTTCCTATGACAACCTGACGTATGAAGCTCGTGGAAACAGGGCACAATAGAACTGGTGTTCCAATCCTAGTCACAAAAGACAAGCGAGAAAATGAGGATGTCTGGAATATATGGGCCCTTCGTTAACTGCACCACACGTTAGAAAATATGAGGTTAACCAGGTGTAGATCTCATACTAAAATAAAGTCAATCAGGGATTTTGCGTGCAATTGAATGAAGTTTGAAGCATAGAACACTGGAACACTGGGTGACAGGTGCCTCTCTGCCAAATAGAAACTTGATAGGTCCATCGCACGAAAACAAATCATCCACTTCTTGGTACGCTGAAAATATTTTCCTCTCGACTTCTCTTATATGAACGGTACGCGCACACTGAATACCTCTCGTACGACTTTCTGGCCATATATAGTTGCCTGGTTGCACTGAATGTGTCGCTGACTTTATTATGACAACACTGGCTGGGATCGCGTGCATTTCGAAACCGGAAATTACCTGAAATAAAATACGCTAAAACTTTCAAATACGGCATGCTAATTGTCACATACTTCATCTTACGTCGGTCTCAGTCTCCCGTTGAAGAAAACCAATGGCTATAGCGGGATTTTTGCGGCAACCATCTACAATAAATGGCTGGAACGAAAAGTGTGCTTGTTGTCTGGTGGAAAACGTCCTGCGAATAAGGAAAGCGTTTGGAACCCTTCGATAGAGTTGGAGCTACTCAGAGGTTGAATATATACAAAATGGGAGATTCGGGCGGTTTCATCGGGCACGATCTTGTTCGTTGAATGGGTCTCCAAATCGAGAATTTGGCCGGGGGAAAATGCATATTCTGCAACATGAATAGAACTGTATTCTCACTGGAATAGTTTGCTTTCGAGGTTCGCACGTGCTCTGACACGTTACCGAAATTCGTTCGAACTGCTTGGTGTAGTGCTCGAGTTCATGAACGTTGAAGAATAGAAGGCTGCTCAGGTGTTTCCCGAACAGGGTGGCAACATTCGGCAGAGGCGGAAGCAAGTGCAACGACCGATTATGTAGTTGACGAAGTCATAACAGGCGTGCCTCACAAGGGTGCGCGATTTCTTGCTCGTATAGGTCAGGTGAAGCGATAAAAATAGGGAATCAGTCCTCATATTTGATGAACGCGTGCATAGTAGCGTGTTTTAGACGGAAATGAAAAATCAATAGGTTATGGGAATAGCATCTGACGCTATTGCCACAACCGCATAAAATGCGAAAGTCGGAATTTTACCACGTTTACACTACTAGTGAAATTGAGAGTAGTGAGTTCATTATATTCCGCCCACTAAGGTCAGTGTGGTTCATGGTCGAATCTCTGAGGGGGAAATCCATAATTAATAAGTCGATAAGTGCCATATACGCCGCAGCTGACCGTCCCATGGGACGGTTTTACCAATCTCTGTTATTAGTACTTTTGCACTGGGAATGACTCTGTTGTCCTTGGAGAACCGTTCAGTTACTATGGGCAACACACTTTCCCGTAACATAAAAGCCTAGTGCAAGACAACGCAAGGGATCAATCCATATGTTCAGCCCACAATTACATTGCCTTTCAACAGTATCTTTTTCCAACTATTCACATCCGCATCTGAATCGTTCAACTGTAGTGCCCTTTCGGTGCCTAACTGCCATGCCACCCGAAGGGAGCATGAGGGCCGGGATACTGCCAGGTTGCCCAAGCACAGACAAGGGAATTCGGCAGGTAGCGGTCGCAGTCGAACCACGGACCTTCCGCTCAGTAAATTGGCGCTCCAACCACTGTGCTATCTCCCCCAACTGTTGTTTTGGGTGAACTCAGATACTTTTTTCGTCTCTTCTGAAGGATCTACAGACTCTGCTGCATTCGACAGAAGGCCTGTGGGAAGTAAATCCAACTTGGGCTGAATGCAGATTTTATGTGGAAGCTCCGACAGAGTCCTACTGGGTCAATAAATGTCGACACTCAAATGAACGTTGATGGTCATTGGGCTCGTAACAACTCCTGTACTCAGCTGTGGCCCATACTCTCCCGCATAATCTCCCCTTTTCTCGGTCAGCCTTTCGTCACTGGTATATACTGTTATAAGAACAAGCTGAACGATGTTCAACAGCTGATGTTTGACACAGTCACTGAGTTGACGGGCGTTTTGGTGAACGGTGTCTCCGGAATTTAGCACATTTACACCGTCCGTCTGGCATGTATTGTTTGCGACACCCCTGCTAGGTCATTCCTGAGGGGTTATGGAGGATATTACGGCTGTGTTGAATGCACACTGGTACACGAGGTGTTTTTCCCACTTACGTCATGACGGCAGTGAAGCGTCGGTGTTGAACATTGATGTCATGCTGTCAATGATGATGATGATGATGATGATGATGATGATGATGATGATGATGATGATGATGATGATGATGATGATGATGATGATGATGATGATGGTGATGATGATGATGATGTTGAGGTCATGACTCTAATTTCCGGAGCCGAAAACAAGAGAAGATGTAGCCGCAAAATGCGGTTATTAGATGGTTACATAACTGCCAGATAACGGGAAAACTCGTCCTCTGGACTGCTAGGGACCGTACAGGTACCAGTCCGATAGAGGAGTTGAATTTTCCTATGAAGAGCGGCTTTCCACCAGACTACACGCATATTGTGTCGGCTGATGCTATGGATGATGATGCTTATGGAACGCCTCAACCAATGAAATGGGAAGAACTAGCATTTTTCTTTGATGAATGTGTACTACTGAAAGTTTTCATAGTAGTGTAAACTTTACGATGAATGGCGTATCCGGTCAGGAACGAAAAATCAGTTGGTGGAGATAGTGATGCTATCTCCACCAACTCAGATTGGTGGAGAAAAAAAGAATAGCAATAGTTATATACTACTTTTGAAAATATGAGTAGCACGTCAATTATATTCTGCACACGGATTGTAATGTAACTGACCAATGAGATGCAGGCGTCGATACTGAAAACCCCCTTTGACGAGTCTATAGGGGGTGGTTGACGGTAGCATGACGAATAACACTCTTGCTAGCAGTCCTTTCATTCTGTCCCCACACTGAATTAATTGTAGCGGACCAATCAAATGCATCAGCCGCTAAGGAAACCCCTCTGGAACTTGTTGTTAGGTGTTGCTAATGCCGGTGTGACGAATGATGTTCGTGGTAGCAGCGATGCAATGTAAAATGTGGTGAAATCCAGTGAGTACCAGCTAGGGAAGGGGAATGTCTGAACTGTGTTCGATTTTAGTTCGTTGAACAAATGCCGACTTTATGCCAAACACTCCCAAGCTTAATTGGCTTGGCCAGATATTACGCATTTTGAGTCAGTCTACGTGCGTTAAATGCGGTGCTTGTGGCTTCATAAATTTTACAGGAACGTGTCCACTTATCTAACAAATTATGGTTATCGATTACCCGGTACTCTCAGGAGGCTCCACATAATCAGCCGTAACTCATATATTGGTCACGGTAAGCTGCATCTTCAGTCCACGCATCAATTGTCCTTACCACACCAACACGTGTCAGCTCGACTAATTCGGAACCATTCTCCACACACCTGCCAGTTCCACACCTTCTATTCTGTTAACACTGGGGTGTGTTATGTCGTCCGGAGGTAACCCGTCAACTTGCCTAAGGAAGAAGCCAAGTCGAGCACAGTAACAGGTCGTTTTTGTTGCTAAATAATGCGGTTATATACATCGGAAAATGGCAGGAATTGGCTGGGACTTGCTCTTCAACCGAATAACCAATAGGAAACAACAGTTATGCATGATCGGGTAGACAACTAACGAAATGCAACGACCAGTAGGAGTCACACGTGAGTGGAACGATGATAAATCAATAGGGGCTCAGCACGATGCAATCTGGTGGCTGAACATGTGATGACGACAAATATAAGCAAAATGTGAGAATTGATCAGAATCGATCAGTCCGTAGTTAAGACGAAATTTTTGGCAATTAACAGTTCGTTCTGGTAACATCTCCCCCTTTAAAAATTTGGTTACCTGGGCTATGCATAACT